TGTCATGTGACAATCTGATTGGCTTAGGAGTGATGATGTCACAAGGATGTCACAAGGATGTCACAAGGATCCTTTGAAGTTTTTCTATAATAGGGGTGAGAAACAGCAATTTTCAGTTCGTTTCTTCGCAGCCTTTGTGTTTGCAGCCTTCAAACGTTCACTACAGAAAAATTTGGAAACCTCTCAGAGTCATCGGATACAAACGCCAACATGTATCCAAGATTACGGCAACCGAGACAAAAAGATTTCGCCGCCTCTCCTTCCACGCGTGGCCGGCCAATTTCTCCAAATGGCCTCTTATCCATCCAAAGGGCATTACAGGAGAGTAGGAATGAAAACAACCATCTCCAGAACAAAATTCGACAAATTGAAGAAGAAAAACGTCACCTGGAGAAGAAGTGCTTACAGATGGAAGCACAAAACAAACACCTGGAAGAAACACTACAGCGCCAGCCCGACATCAACATTATTAATGAGGGCTGGGGGATCAAGTTTGCTCAAGCCAGAGAGCAGATTGTATCCCTCATCAAAGAAAACAAGAAAAAGAGCGCTGAAGTTAAAGAAATGTCCGAGCAGCTTCAAGGCAGGAAAGCGACGATTGATAAAATGGAGTGGGATCTGCAATACATGGACCAAATGAATCACCTGCTCCAAAGAAAGCTTGATGAAGCTGAAGAAAAAAATAAAGAAGTCCTCCAACAGAAGGAACAACAGGACACAAAGCAAAAAGACCTGCAGCGCGAGCTCCAAGGCATGCAGGAAAAGTACAGAATGGTGAAGGCAGAGTTGGAACAAACATTGGTCCAAAATAAAGACCTCCTTCAAGAGAAAGAGCAACAGAAAGAAAGACTGCCAGAAGAAAAGTGCATTATCAAGGACTTTGAGAGTAAAAATCAAAAGTTGCAAGGATTCTGTGATGAACTGAAGGTCAAAACAAGTGAGCTGGAGGGAGAAAAGGAAACACTAGAAAAACGATGCTCACACATGCAGAAAAAGATTGATCACATGGCCAAAAACAACTCAGAGCTCATTAAGGGATATTGTTGGAATTCAACAACTTGAAGCGGGAAAACACAGAAATGCAGGCCCAAAAGCAAAAACAAGACAAAACGCATGAGGACCTGCAGTGTACGCTCCGCGATATCCAGAAAAGAAATGAGCAGCTAGAAGGCCTGCACAAAGAAGATCAAGTGAGAAATGCAGACCTGCAGAAGGCAAAGCTGACACAGGAGGCAACATCCAAAGACCTCAAAGAAAAGCTTGAAGAAACACAAGCAACATTAGAACAGGTGGAACAAACATGCAAGAAACTAGAGAGGCAAAACACAGAAACCATCGATGAGTTGAGAACCCTCATCCTGGACAAAAAGGCGCTCGTGGAAAAGTCCATGAAAAAGAAGAAAAGATTCTTCAGCTTTTTCCGGTAGAGGGACAATACTGCTTCTTCAACTGATGTAGCCTCGTCTTGCTCCACCTCTGTTCACCCCCCAACCAGTCCCGGCAGTTGACTGCCCCCTCCTGAGCCTGGTTCTGCCGGAGGTTTCTGCCCGTTTAAAGGCAGTTTTTCCTCCCCACTGTCGCCTAGTGCTTGCTCAGAGGGGATTGTTGGGGTTTTCTCTCCTCTACCTTGTTTTCTTTATTTACTTGTTAACTTTTTGCTCTTACTTCATTTAACCTTGTTTCGTTATTTACTTGTTAACTTTTTGCTCTTACTTCATTTAACCTTGTTTCGTTATTTACTTGTTAACTTTTTGAACTTACCTCATTTAACCTTGTTTCGTTATTTACTTGTTAACTTTTTGAACTTACTTCGTTTTACCTTGTTTCTTTATTTACTTGTTAACTTTTTGAACTTACTTCATTTAACCTTGTTTCGTTATTTACTTGTTAACTTTTTGAACTTACCTCATTTAACCTTGTTTCTTTATTTACTTGTTAACTTTTTGAACTTACTTCGTTTTACCTCGTTTCTTTATTTACTTGTTAACTTTTTGAACTTACTTCGTTTTACCTTGTTTCGTTATTTACTTGCTTGTTTAACTTTTTTCAACTTATCTAACAAAATAAAACAGTTGAATTTATCCTTTGAGTATTGTTCATCTATTCTTTACAGAGTTTTTCCAAAACACTTTCAAACATTCAGATCTGTCTTTCATTTTCTTCTTGAAACCTCATGAACGGTGAACTAAAAACTCTGGAACATGGTTTGAAACACTGAAATTGTTTCAGCTGAAACTGGCAAAGTCATACGTGCGTGTGTGAGTGTCACAGGTGATATGGTGTCATTAGTCAGGTCATCATGTTTAGGCTCATTCACTCATTCACTTTAGGCCAAATCTTTAAAACAGTGTCACTGCACACACATTTTAATCACACAAACGCAGGATTAATTCTTTGCAGTATTTTATCTGATTTATTATGAGAATGTCACGCCTGATCATTTGCACCCACAACATCAAAAATGGGGGCAAAAGGGAGGAGACCACGTTTAATCGATTATAACACGAGGTCAGAAATATAAGTGCTGACATGAGTAGTGTCCACAGAAACCTCTGAATCTCAGCTAAAAACTCATGTAAACCATGTCTACAAACACCAAACAAAGCAAAGACACCAGACAGTTAAAAGAGCAGTTACTGCACCATGAATCTGTGGACAGGTAATATCCATATTTTGATTTATGATTTTCTGGAGTTAAATGTGAACCAAAGCATATTTTCAAACGTGTTATATGCTATAAAATACTTTTAAATATTAGGTGAGGGAAATAAAAAATCTATTTTTCTATGTTTGAGTCACAGTAACTTTTAAAGTGTTTGTGCTAATAACATCATGTACAGTAAGACAGGCATGGAGAACAGCACTGACTGGGAGAGCCTTTGAACAGATGACATTCAGTTCAATTCAACATATAAGACTTTAAGAATGAACAAGCATCTAAGTAAAATCTATTTATTTAGTCTATCATCTGTGATATTATGTACAATTATAATGTATTGTTCACCTCTCTTAAATAAACAGGCAGCCTTAATGTATGAAATATTCTGTTAAGTCTAATTGTTGAATGTCGCCATTGTGTTTCTTAAATTTGTATAGTCTTAGTTTAAGCAGTAGGATCAAAGCCATTCCTTTGATCCTGACCACCTCTCCAGCCACTCTGTGCTGGGGGAGGTTTTATTGTAGATACATCCTAACTTGAAGATCTGTTTGATGTTTGGTAGAGCTTCCTACCCTTTGTATGGTTTCACTGTGTTATCTTTGGTAAACCATACATTGGGTGTGGGGGAAGACTACCCTCTTTATGACCAAGGATGTTGTTCCTGCTTTTAGGTTTTATGACCCTTTGACCAACACACACACACACACACTCACATAACACACACTCACACACACACACACACACACTCAGTGTATACATTTACATACAGTGCCTTGTCTTTGTAACCAAAGGGGGTTGCAAGGGGAGGTGTTTTGTAAACTATTGTTTGAAGTTTGTCAATAAAAGGCGGCGAGAGGAGGCCACCAGTGTGGTCATTTCAACGTGCTGGTCACAGACGAGAGGCCTCCCTTGCGCAAGAAATCGATCGAACACTGTTGCCTTGCTTTTCTTTCATGGGAATAAGTCTTGGATACAGCGGGGTCTGAGTTTAGACCCAACATTTATTTGGTCCTTCGGAGCCGGAGCCTAACACATTGCATCCACCGAGGAGAGGAGAGGACGCCACCGCAACGTCTGGGATGATTGACGTAAAGCCCTGGTGTTTTTGGCTTGCCACCAGGCCGGGAAGTTTGCGCCTGACCTCCCCTCGGGATGGATGACGATTGACGGGATCCAGAGACTCTTCCCATGAACGTAAACAAACAGTGAGTACAGAAGGCCTTAGAGAGCGTCTCTATAACCGCGTGAATGAATGTGGGATCCTAGAAACGCGTCACCGTGATTCTGCGTGAAACGTTTGAGTCCCGGGAGCGCTGGTCACGAGAGCGCACGTGGACCCAAAACAATAGAGAGCGGCTACGGGCTGTGCGTTAAACGTGAGTCCGGGAGCGCGCTAGCCGCGTGAGAGAGACGCAGGCTTCTCCGCCGTTTGGGGCGTAGAGAGTTCTCCGCCATTTGGGGCGTGGAGAGAACCTAGGTTCAGAGTCCGGAATCTCCGCCATTTGGGGCGTTGGAGAGTGTCCGAAGGTTGAATTCTCCGCCATATGGGGCGTTTGAGAGTTTTCAACAGAGAGCGCTAGCTGTGCGTGCAAACGCAAGCGATAGGCCTATGTTGTGTGTGTGCGGGCCAGACGTGGTCTGCGTGAGTGTGGCTGATTGTTGTCTTGTAATGGAGAATAAAATGTGTAAGTCTGCCTTAGAAGGAGATGTAAAATTTATGCAGAAAGTTTTACCAGGCAGCACGCAGTATGTAGGTTGTTGGTATAAGAAATGTGGATTTGAAGGGACATTAGTGGAAGTTAAGTGTAAAATGCTGGTAGAAAGAATATCTGTAAGTGTAGCAGGTAAAACAGGTAAAGCGAAGCAGAGGAAGGAATTGCAGTTAGCAGTTGCTAAGTTGTGGCTGGAGCAGGCTCAGAGGAGGAGAGAAGCACAGAATGTTAAAAGAGCAATATTGCAAGAAGTAGTTGTGAAACC